GGCTCTCGCAAGAGAAGGGGGCTAAGCAATTCAGCGAAGCTGGATCTCAATATCTTACTGGAACATGTCTTAGCATAAGTCGGGCCGAACGAAAGGGGGGATAGGGGAAGGGGGGATTACGAAACATAGGGTACGTGAGCTGATTCTCCCCCCCCCCTTTGCTATCCCCCCTTTCGCCTGACCCGAATAAGTTTTGAGTGTGTGAGGCCGCTTTCCCCACGCAGCAGATCGCCCCCCCCCGCCGAGCAGACCAACCATGTGCCCCGAGGGGCCGGGGGCTGAACCCCTGACAGGTCCGCCCAGGCCTGCGTGCAGGCGCCGGGGGCCCCCCCCCCGCCGCCCCAGCAGCGTCCGAAGACTTCCCTCCTCCTCCTCCTCCTCCTCCTTCCCTCCTCCTCCTCCTCCTCCCTCCTCCTCCTCCTCCTCCTCCGCCTTCTCCTCCTCCTCCTCCTCCTCCTCCTCCTCCTCCTCCTCCTCCTCCTCCTCCTCCTCCTCCCCGCGGGGGCCCCTGCCGCAGGGGGAGGGGGGGGGCTCGGGACCCCAGGGTCCTCTTGGCGCAGGCGGAGAGCGCCGGGCCCGAGGGGCGAAAAGCCCCCGCTCCCCTGGGACGGCCCCAATAAGCGGGGTCCCCTTCCCGGGGGGGGCAGCCAGGTCCCGGGGCCTCCCCCAGGGCGGTGCAGGGATTCCCCCCTTGCGTTCGCCGCCTTGGGGCGGGAGTGGCTGTCCGTCTTCCCTGTCGTCGTCGTCTTCGTCGTCGTCGTCGTCGCCGTCGTCGTCGTCGTCGTCGTCGTCGTCGTCGTCGTCGTGTCGTCGGCCCCGGGGTCCGCTTCTCCAGTTTTGTTTTGCCCGTGTCCCTTTGGTGTGCGGGGGGCCCTGCCCGTTCGGCTCTCCCCCTTCGCGGGGGCGTTTTCCGTTCGGGCGGGGCCTCCCGCCTGCCCGTGGGGCGCGGCCTTTTACCCGTCCCGCTCGGGCGGGCTCGCTGGTCCCTGGGGCGTGCGGGGAGCGCTGCCCGTCCGGCACTCCCCACTGATGGGGGAGGGCGCTGGTCGCAGCGGGTCTTTCCGCCTGCCTGTGGGGCTCGGCCGCTTTCCCACGCCTCGGCATTGCCCTGCTGCGGCCAGTAGGTTGCTGGGCTACCCCCCGGTCAAGCCAATCTTCCCGCTCCAAATGCTACCCCTAACAGGGCTGCCCTTCCTGCGTGCTACCCTTAACCCGGATAGTCAACTCTTTCTCTGCACGTGCTACCCTAACACTGGCATGCGCTGGCATGCATTGGCATGCATTGGTATGCGCTGGCACGCATTGGCATGCAGCTGGCATGCAGTTGGCATGCATTGGCATGCGCTGTCATGCGCTGACATGCGATGTCATGAATTGGCATGCCTTGGCATGAGGTCGCATGGATTGGCATGCGTTGGCATCCGTTGGTATGCGTTGGCATGCATTGACATGCGTTTGCATTCACTGGCATGCGTTGGCATGAGTTGATGTGCGTCGGCATGCATTGACACGCGTTGGTATGCGTTGGCATGTATCGGCATGCATCGGCATGCGTTGACACGCGTTGGCCTGTGTGCGCATGCTTTGGTATGCGTGTGGCATGCATTTGGCATGCGCTGGCATGCGTTTGCATGCGTTGACATGCGTTGGCATGCATTGGCATGCGTCGGTGTGCATTGGCATGTCTTCGCATGCAGTTGCATGCGTTGGCATTCATTTGCATGCATTGGCAAGCATGGGCATGCATTTGCATTCATTGGCATGCGTTGGCATGCATTGGTGTGTAATGGCATGAGTTGGCAAGCATTGGCATGCGTTGGCATGCGTTGACATGCGTTTCCTGCACTGGCACGCACTGCCATGCGTTAGCATACATTCGCATGCGGTGACATGTGTTCGCATGCGTTGGCATGCGCTGGCGCGCCTTGGCATGCTTCGGTATGCGCTGGCATGCGTTGACATGCCTTGGCGTTCGTTGGCGTTCGATGGCATGCACTGGCATGCAGTGGCATGCAGCGTCATGTGTTGGCATGAATTGGTTTGCGTTGGTATGCGTTTGGCATGCATTGGAACGCGTTGGCACGAAATGACACGCGTTGGCATGCGTCGGTGTGCATTGGCATGCGTTGGCATGTCTTCGCATGCGTTAGCATGCGTTGGCATGCATTAGCATGCATTGGCATGCATGGGCATGCATTGGCATTCATTGGCATGCGTTGGCATGCGCTGGCATGCCGTGACATGAATTGGTATGCGGTGTAGGCCTCGACATGCGTTGCCGTGCGTTGGCATGCATTGGCGTGCGTTGGCGTGCACTGGCATGTCTTGGCATGCGTTGGCATGCGTTGGCATGCATTGGAAGCCCTCCCTGCATGCTACCCCTAACCCGGGCAGCCAATTCGTCTCTCGCACATGCTACCCCCAACTCTGGCAGCCAATTCGTCACGCGTCCTCCATTTTTTATTAGGCACTGCAGGACTGCCTCCTCGTCCTCCCTCCTTGGCCGCTCCGCCGCCCACGCCCGAGCTGTCCTTCACCACTCCCCCCTCCCCCTCCTCCCCCCAGGACTGGCTCCTCGTCCTCACTCCTCCTCCTCTCCATCCTTGCTTGGCCGTTTTCCGCCCCCAGTTGGCCCTCTCCACTGCCTTTCTAGGCTCTTGGGAATTCTGCCAGGACTGCGGGCTAAGGCTATGCGCAGCATGCCCAACTAGCTCGCGGCCCGTTGTTTCGGCCAGCCCGACTCAGCATTCACGGCAGCTTTCTTGGCACCCGCAGAGCCGAACGTATTAAGGCCAGGGCCGGCATCGCTGGAACTCTTCGAGGGCTGCGGGCTAAGGTTATGCACCCCATACCCAACTAGCCTGCGGCCCGTTGTTTTGGCCAGACCCACTCAACAAACAGTGCTGGAATTCCGGGATTACAGGCCGCGCGCTGCTAGGCGTTATCCCGGGAATTCTGCTAGGACTATTGGCTAAGGCTATGCATGGCATGCCCAACTAGCTCGCGACCCGTTGTTTCGGCCAGCCCAACTCAATATTGCGGCAGGATTCTTGGCGTCCGCAGCGCCGCACTTGTTTAAGCCAGGTCGCTGCGCGCACCTCCGCTTCTTGTCCAGTTCGTCTCCAGGTGTGGACCTCGCCCAGGTCGTCTTCAGTCGAGGTTGCACCTTCGCGCCCGCATGCGAGGGCGTTCGCAGGCGCGGGCTCCAGCACAGAGCGCGTACTAGGCTAACAATGCCACCACATGGGATAACAGCTTCGGCAACATGCGACAGCATCCGTGAGGTCCCAGCAGTGTCAACACTACGTTGTTCCATCCAGCGCGTTGCATCGCGCTCCCAAGTGTCACTCGACACGCAGACGCATTTGCTGCACTTAGCGCTGCCTAAGTGCAGCAAGATGTGGGGGCCGGTTGGCGCCTTTTCACACGCATACGCACGTTGCTGCACTTCGGCGCTTGACGCTGCCTAAGTGCAGCAAAATGTTGAAAGCCTGTTGAAGCCTCCTTCAACACTTTGCGTTGCCTGCTTCTGCGTCGCATCGCATCGCGTAGCGTAGCAGCGCTTCGCTGCCACAAAATCTACACGGTCGTTCCATACAGTGCGTTGCATCGTGGGTTGCTAACCAGGTCTCGCCCTCGTTAGCATTTGACAACAAAAAGGCAACGATTTGGAGTTTCCCCAGGTAGCGGGCGCTTCCCTTGACAATCCCCGGTTGGCTCAGGGACTGTCCAAAAGCGGCCCGCTCGCTGTCCTGGCTGCTTGGTCAGTGATCCTCCTCCTCCTCCTTCTCCTCCTCCTCCTCCTCTTCCTCTCGGCGCGTCGGGCGGGGAGGGGGCGCGGGCCAGCACGATCAGGGCCATCTAGCGGGGGCGTGGGGGGGCGGCGATCGTGACCTGGTCGCCGCGCGTGGGGGGGTGCCCATTGCGCTCGAGGGCCGATGGTCGAGGAGGAGGAAGACCAGTGTAAAACCAAGAGCCATCAGCGATGTTGGAACTAACCCTTCCTATTAGCTCCTTTTTTCCTAAGCCCCACGACGGCTCATTTCCACTGAGGGAACTGCCCCGATGGAAGACAACCTTTTTACACTCCTGAAGCATGCCACAACATTGTTCTCGGCATGTCAACGCCACGTATCAACCTGACTGCTGCGTCTTGACGATTCGAACTCGCGCTAGAGCGCTATCTTTCTGATTCCGACACCGCGAATCAACATAACTGTTGCACCCGCATAATCCTGAATCCATCCAAAACACCGTATCTGGCACGCTGATCTTGCGAATCCGTGCTACGCTTTGCGAATATTTTCAATCGAATGTTTGCGGGCGCTAAGGCGAGAGCCAAATTTTGAAAAAGAGCCGCCCTCAATCCGTGAAGTTGTTGCAATCCTTTGAAAACGAATGCGCGCGGCGCTAGAGCCACATTTTGAGAACCACCCGCCCTCAATTTTTGAAACCCTTACAAATGTTTAAAACTAATGTGCGCGGCGCTAACACAAAAACCACATTTCGAAAACCACCCGCCCTCGATCCGTGAAGCTCTTGCAATTTTCAAAATGAATGTGCGCGGCGCTAGAGCCACATTTTGAGAACCACCCGCCTCAATACGTGAAACCCTTTCAAATGTTAAAATGAATGAGCGCGGCGCTCAGGCGAGAACCACATGTTGAAAGCCACCCGCCCTCGATCCGTGAAACGCTTGCAGTGTTTTTGAAAGAATGCGCGCAGCGCTAAGGCGAAAACCACATTTCGAAAACCACCCGCCCTCGATCCGTGAAGCTCTTGCAGTGTTTTTGAAGCGAAAGTGCGCGGCGAAGGCGAGAACCACATTTAGAAAACGGCCCGCCCTTCTTCTGAAGCCTCAGAATCAGAAATGGTGAGGCGGTCTCAGGCGAAACGCCCGGCCCGCCCTAAAAGCTGGCCTCGGGGGGTGCGACAGGACTGGAGGAGGAGGAGGAGGAGGAGGAGGAGGAGGAGGAGGAGGAGGAGGTGCCCAGTGGCAGGTCCGCCTCGCCAGCGTGCAGGCGCTGGGGGCCCTGCCGCCGCCCGTCGCCGCCGCGAGCCTCGCCGGCCTGGCCTGCTGCGCCGCGGACGGCAGCGACCCGGTGCGCGCGGCCGCGCTGCTCGTGCTCGGGGCGCTGGGCCCCGAGCACGAGGGGGGCGAGGTGGTGCTGGCGGAGCTGGCGAGGCCCCCGTCCGAGGAAGCCCACCAGGCCACCCCCAGCCCAACCCGCAGGCCTCGGAGGCGGACGGACCTCCCACACCCTGGCGCGTCGATGGAGGAATCGGCCGTTGTCGGTTCGCGAGTGGGCGTCGCGGCCGTCGTTCTTGCGGGGCCAGGTCCATCGGTTTCGGTCCCGGGCCGTTTTCACTGAGGGGAGGTTTACTAAAGGGGGGTTTGTCCACCGCCGAAGGCTCCGATGTGCTGTCCATTTACATGGGGGGGTCGGGGGACATGGAAAACATACATATGAAGCCCGTATCCCCCCCCCCAAAAGCCGACATTCCGGCCTTCGGGTCGGGTTGGGGTGGTTGGGGTGGTCTGGTGGGTAGTCACGTCCGAGGAAGCGCACACATGGATTCGGGCGCGTGGACTTCGAAGAAGAGAAACGCCATAAGCATAAACTGTTGGCGCTCTGCGCGGGTTTCTTGGATCCGCGCTGGCCCCTCCCGGCGGCGCCTCCGGCGCCGCCCAAAGAGCGCGCTCCACGCGCCAGGGAGGGAGGGCCAGGCCAGATCCAAGAAATCCGCGCGGAGCACCAGAAGTTGATGTTTACGGCGTCCTGTCTTCTTCTAGGACTAGCGACGGGTCCCGCTTCCGTGCAGAAAGGGCGCGCGCCGCCACCAGGTCGGAGCCGGCACCGTGCTTCGGGGGTGCTCTTCTCGATCCAGGGATCGGGGCGACCACGCGCCAGAGCCACGGATGCCCGCTTCCTTTCCCCGTGCGCCCGGCTCGTGGCCTCTTCGAAGGGGCCTCGTGGCACCCCCGGAGCCCAGACGACGGCTCTGGGCCGTGTGCGGCCTCCAGGGGCCCTCGCCGGGCCCCAGGGGGGCCGTCGAGAAAGCAAGGGACGCCCGGGGACGCAGAAGCGAAACCCGCGTGCGGAGGGTCTGGGCTTCCAGGGGCCCCACGCCGACGGGGTCAGGGCACCGCGCGGCGGCAGGGGGGGGGGGGACCTGTCTGCCCCTGGAAGTCTGCGGCCGTGCTGCTCACATCTGGTCCAAGACTGGGGGGGGGTGGGCATTCGGCGGTGGACAAACCTCCCTTTAGTAAACCTCGCCTTAGTGAAAACGGCCTGGGACCGACACCGATGGACCTGGTCCCGCAAGAATGACGGCCGCGACGCCCTCTCGCGAACCGAAAACGGCCAATTCCTCAATCGACGTGCCAGGGTAGGAGGTCTATCCACCTCCGAGACATCATGGCGGGGGTCATGCTATGCCCACAGATTTCTTGGCGGGGCCACGATCTGCGCACCCCACTCCTGGACGCCCCCCCTCCTGGACGCCCCCGACTGGTGCGGGCTCAGAGCGGATGCGGCGCAGGGTTCGGCGTGGATGCGGGGCGGATTCGGGGCGGCTTTTCGCCTGAGCGGTGGGACACATACCCAGACATGATCTTTTGTTAAACAAATTCAGGACGGGAGATGTTTTGCAAATTTCAGCCTCGGGGGGCCCTCCCTTGCCGGGCCTCGGGACCGTCAAAACACGACTCAGGATGGAAAACTGGCTCCAGGGAAAGGGTCTGGACTTCCGGGGATGCCGTCCTGAAAAAATCAGGACGTCACATTTCTGGGTACGAGGCCCTCCGAAGATGCAGCCTGGCGTCAGGCGGATGGGCGACGATGCCGCGGAGGTGCGGGCCGCGGCCGCGAAGGCGCCCTGGAGGGCCTGCCCTCCTCGCGCCGTGAGGAAAACAATCTCCGAGCGGTAGTTGTTTTTTCCGAGCTTTTCTCGAAGGACACTGGCTACGCCCATCGCACATCTTAAGAGAAAGCGTGATCGTCCGTGGGAACCAGGTTTTGCTTGCGAAAATCAAGAAGCTGGACTGGACCCTCATCGTTCTTTCGGGACTTCGCTTTCTCGTAGACCTTTCCTGCATGTGGACATAGGCGACGCTTCAAATGACGTTCAGATTCCCAGCTGGAGTTAGTTTAACTCTAGGCAGTTGCTCACGTTCTTCTGTTTGGGGGCCTCTGGCAGCCCTCGCCGGTCTCAGAAGCGTTGAAACATCAACCAGGATGGAGAGCCGATCCCCGTGCAAACAATCGATTTCGGATGCCTGTGGGGGGGTTCTGATGCATCCGTAGCGGAAAATACGGCATAAAAGCAATTTTTTGCGCTCCGCGCGGATTTCTTGGATCCGCGCTGGGCCCCCTCCGGCAGCGCCGCCCCTGGCGCGCTCCGCGCGCCAGGGATGGGGCTCCAGCGCGGATCCAAGAAGTCCGCCTGGAGCGCCATAGTTTATGTCTAGTTGTTTGCTGTTGTTTCTTTTTTATTCCATGTGTACAGCACGCTTGTGCCGCGTCGACGCGGCGACGGCCCGAGCGCGCGCGCGCGTTCCAGGGCTGAAAGCCGCTGGTGTGCTCTGGATGGGCCGGCGTCGAGCGGTCGACGCTGGCGGGAAGCCGCGGGTCGTTCCGGGCTGAGCGATCCGCACGGTGCCTGACGCCAAGGCAGACTGTCGTCACGGCAGCAAACTGCCGTGCGCTCAAGTCGGGCACGTCCCTCTGCAGGAGGAGTATACAAAAATAGTGAAAAGATAGTCTGGGGACTGTTTTTGTTCTGCTAGTTCTGCGCACTGTTGGCTATCTTGCATTTGGCTTCCAAAACCCCCCTGTAGGAGGACAGGCCCGACCGAACCGTACGCCGCGCCGCCAGGTCGCCCCAGGAGCTCGGCGAGCGGACGCCGCCCCCGGCTTCCCAGGCTGTGGCATGCCGGGGCGCATTTGCCTTTCGTTCGTCAGCTCCCTGGGTCAACCGCGCAAGCTCGGTGTACACGTCTGTGGGCGTATAATCTGGGGAGGATTTTTCTTTCTCATTTTTCGGTGGCAATGTTTGCATATGTTTTGACTCTTTTTTGTTTTGCCTCCACAGCCTGCATGTAGGGGGGCATGCCCGACCCAAAGCCACCCCGAGGCGATGGGTTGCTTCGGCGAGGCGGCGGAGAAGCACGTCCGGCTGCTGGTGCGGGTGCTGAAGGAGGACTCCTTCCCCCCGGCACGCGCCAGCGCGGCGGAGGCGCTCGGGCTCGTCGGGCCGGCAGCCGGGGGCTTCATGCAGGCGCTGGTCAAGGCAGGGCACATTCCGACTCCTCCGATTCGGTTCGGTTCGATTTCGATGTCTTCCGATTCCGATTCGATTCGACTTGGGATTCCGCTTTGGGTTCCGATTTCTTTATTGAAGGCCTGCTATCTTGCCGATTGCCGCCGATTCGACTTTTCCCGACTCGGCTGCCGATTTCCGCCGATTTGATGTTTTTCGACTGCCGATCTGACTTATCGATTCGATTCTGGGCTCTCCTGTCAAGGCGCTGTCGGACCCAGAGCGCGACGTCAGGCGGAGCACAGTGGATGCCTGCGGGCGCCTGAGCGTGACCACCCCCCAGTCTTCCGTCCAGGCTCGCGGGCGGCGAACATGTCGATGTCCAGGCGCTCGCAGTCTGGGCTCCGAGGCGCGATCCCGTGGATGCGCGGTCCCGTGGATGCGTTTCGCACGGGGCGTGCGCGCAAAGCCGCCCTGAGTCCGTGGGGCATCGGCCGAGCAGTCTGGACCGCGAGATCGTGGGTAATGAAGGACGACGATTGCGTAGGAATTGCCCGGGGGGGCCCATCAAGCAACAGCGCCCTCAGCGACGATGAACATGTTGGGCTCTGGGCCTGCTCGTGAGCGTCGCTGTCATTTAGGTTTGTTTGCTTGCTGCTATTCCCCGGCAGTTGATTCTGCGGTATTCCCAACCATCCTGTTGTGTTGGGTCTTCGTTTTGAAGGCGTCCCGCGTCTCATTGCTTCCTCCCGCTGCCCCCCCTCCCCATCTTCCCATCCCTGCCCTCCGCACCAGTCAACCATTTCGGCACACCCCTCACACGCTTCGTGGTCCCAATACGGAGCTCCACCGAAGGCACCAGTGGCTGCGCACGCATCGCACAACCGCGCCCACTTCGGCACACACCTCACACGCTTCCTGGTCTCATATGGAGCTCCACCGAAGGCCCCAGCGGCTGCGCTCGCATGGCACCACCGCGCCCAATTCGGCACACCCCTCACACTATACGTGGCCTCGTAGGGAGCTCCACCGAAGGCACCAGTGGCTGCGCTCGCATTGCACTACCGCGCCCACTTCGGGACACCCCTCATACGCTTCGTGCCTCCATAGAGAGCTCCACCGATGGCCTCAGTGGCTGCGCTCGCATGGCACCACCGCGCCCATGTCGGCGCACCTCTCACGCGTTTCGTGGCCACATGGGGAGCTCCACCGAAGGCCCCCGTGGCTGCGCTTGCATGATACCACCCCGCCGATTTCGGCACACCGCTCGCACGTTTTGTGGCCACATAGGGAGCTTCACCGATTGCCCCAGTGGCTGCGCTCGTATGACACCACCACACCCATTCATTTCGGCACAGCTTCGTTGCCCCATAATTAATGAGTTCCGCCAAGGGTCCCAGTGGCTGCGCTTGCATGGCGCCACTGCAACCATGTCGCCACACCCCTCACACGCCTCGTGGCTTTATGCTTAGCTCCACCGATGACCCCAGTGGCTGCGCTCGCATGGCACCACCGCGCCCAATTCGGCACACCCCTATCACGTTTCGTGGCCTCATAGGGAGGATGCCCCAGTGGCTGCGCTCGCATGGCACTACCGCACCCATTTCGGCACATCCCTCACGCGATTCGTGGCTGCAGTTGGAGCTCCGCCGATGGCCCAGTGTCTACGCGCGCTTGGCACCACCGCACCCATTTCGGCGCACCCATCACGCGCTTCGTGGCTCCATCGGGAGCTCCACCGATGGCCCCAGTGGCTGCGCTCGCATGGCACCATCGCGCCCATGTCGGCACACCCCTCACACGATTCGTGGCCACACGGGGAGCTCCACCGAGGGCCCCAGTGGCTGCGCTCGCTTGGCGCCACCACACCTATTTCGGCACACCCCTCACACCTGTCGTGGCCCCATAGAGGGCTCCTCTGAACGCAGAACCCACAACGCAGTACTCACAGTTGCATGTGAATGGGCCCTGGGCCATGACAATTCATCCTCCCCCTTGTTATTCTGAATTGTCATCCTACATAATGGATGCCCACACATCCGATGTCTGGACTCTTTCCATAAAAAGGGTCGATGGAGGTTGCGACCTTTTCCAAGGGCCCCCTTTTCCCCCCTCGGTCCTGAGGTCTGGCGAGGGCCCACAGAGGCCGAAAACTGCAAACAACACCGCACGTCGTGCTATTCCTATGATGCGTGCAAATCTGGGTATGCTTCCCAACCACGACAGGCCGCGCCAGGGCTTGCGAAGGTCGTGCTGTCGCCGGGCGAGGACGGGCAGCTGCGGGCCGCGGCCATGGCCGCTCTGCGAAGCATGGGCAAGGCCGGGTGCGCGTGCCTCATGTCGAGCCTCTCGGACGTCAACCCGCAGGCGGGACCATGTTCGATCCGATCGATCCGATCTGGCGTGCTAGGAAGCAGCTCGTGGGAGGTCTTCGCCAGAACGATTAAGGGCGAAATGCCCGATGGAGGGGCCGTGAAGCTGGAAAGGCCTGGATTGAGCCCAGGATGAGGCCTGATGAGGCGGGATTCTGCCAGGGAGGGCTGGTGTTCGACCGCGGACCCACCGCCGCCGATGCTGACGTGAACCTCCCAGGAGGTGCATCCGAAGTTACTTGAGTCAGTATCGTTTAACCGATCCCCATCCCCATGCTCATCCCCTTCGAGACCCCCACCAAATTACACCCCCAGTCGGAGATACACCCCTCGAAACCCGAAGAATACAGCCTATCAGCCTATATCCCCACCTTGGGGGGGTAAATCGGCCAGTGGGGCCCAGCCCACGCTGGTGGGGATGGGGATAGGTTAAACGATACTCATTGAGCCTGCGAGGATTCGGCCGAGCGACACGCCTGTTTCGGCCAGATTTTGGGCTCCAGAGGGGCCAACCACCCGCCTAGGAGGAGGAGGAGGAGGAGGAGGAGGAGGAGGAGGAGGAGGAGGAGGAGGAGGAGGAGGAGGAAGAGGAGGAGGAGGAGGAGGAGGAACATAAGGAGGAGGAGGAGATGAGGAGGAGGATGAGGAGAGGAGAGGAGGAGGAGGGGAGGAGAGGAGTAGGAGTAGGAGTCAAGCTAGCCAGCTCGAGCGAGTCAAGCATGGCATGCCCAGTCCCACCCGCCCTCCCACAACATAAGAAGCAAAGCTGGCACAACTGGGGGCCGAAGTCACACCGGCCAGCCGGTTTGGTACAGCTGATGCGGCCGCGATGGCGGTTGCCGACGGGAACTGGCGAGCGCGTGTTGAATGCCGCGCACGCATTGCCAGACGAGTCGAGAATGGCCCGGTACACCGCAGGAAGCCAGAGGTGGCCGGAGGAAGCCCGACGGTCTGACAGGACACCCCAAAGCATTTTTGTGAAAAAGCATTGGGTTTTTGATGTTTTTATGTTGAAATGCTTGCAAACACACGGCGTTCGGTAGGATTCTGACATGAACGCGCGAGTGTGCTCTTTGTGCTATTTTTTGCACAGGATTCGCGGCCTGGGTGCATGACAGAGCATCGCGAGTGCACCGCGCGATGACGCGAAATCGCTGGATTTGACCGAATTCTTAAGATTCCTATGGTTTTCCTATGATTTCAGCAAGAGAGCCCGGGCGGGACATTTGTACAATTGTTGTGAAAAAGCATTGGGTTTTTGATGTTTTTATGTTGACATGCTTGCAAACACAAGGTGTTCGGTAGGATTCTGACATGAACGCGCGCGTGTGCTCTTTGTGGTATTTTTTGCAATGGATTATCGCCGTGGACGACAAGACGTCCATGTCGAGAGGAAAAAATAAGAAACATGTTGATGTTGTATTGGTTTTACAGGTTAGGATGGGACCACCCGGATGCGGCCCCTAATGGCCGGCCTGAGGGGGGAATAGGAGTATATTCTAATAAGGAATAAGGATAGGAGTAGGAGGAGGAGGAAGAGGAGGAGGAGGAGGAGGAGGAGGAGGAGGAGGAGGAGGAGGAGGAGGAAGAGTAGGAGGAGTAGGAGGAGGAGGAAGAGGAGTGTTCGCCGCACTTTCCTCCCCGAGGGCCGCCGACGTTGACAGTCTGTATGTCCGCGCGCATGCCGAGTTCGCCCAGCGCGGCCTGATTTGACCCCGATTTTCCGGTGGTCCGATGCGGCCATGCGCTTGCACGGTACAGCTAAAGTGGAGGCCCGTGTCAAGAAAACCCATGCTTGCCTCCAGGGTGCCCTGGGTTTCTTGGGTTCCGATGGTTGTTGCCATGGAAAGCGCGACGGTCCCACACCCAAAATCGATGGAGGTCCTGGGGTCTCAGGGTTGGGTTTCTTGTGGAAGGTTTCTTGTGGACGGGACCCTACTATAGGAGTCTCGGCGGCGATCGACTCGGTTCGATTGCAAACTCCGGGCCAATGCGGTTGGGTTCGATGCACGTTCCGGTCCAGTGTCCGATGCGCGTTCCGATCCACTGCTGGCCGACCACGACAGGTGCAGCTCCAGGCCATAGACGCCTTCGAGCAGCTCGACGCAGAGGAGAGAGTGGAAAAGGATGAAGAGGATGATGAGGTCGGAAGGAGGTGTGAGGTGGAGGAGGAGGGTCGAGGACGCGGAGGACGAGGAGGAGGAGGAGGAGGTAGGGACGAGCGAGGATGGGGGAGGGAGGGAAAAGGAGGTCGAGGAGATGGCAGAGGAGGCGGGGGAGGTAGAGGAACGTTGGGTGGGGGTGAAGGACGAGGGAGGAGGGTGGGGAAGGAGGAGGGGAGGAGAGAGGACGTGGGGACGAAGAAGGGACGAGGAAGGGGGAGGACGTGAGCACTGTGGAGGAGGCGGAGAGGACGAGGCGCCCCGATGGGCCCCGAGGGCGCGCAGGCCGCGCCGCCCCGGCCAGCGCCGAGGCGGCGGCGAGGCCGCGCCCCGAGGGGGGCCCGGCCGGGAGCCGCTCTTCGGGCAGCGCCCGGCGGTGGCGGTCCGCCGCGGGCGTGACGCGCGCAGGCCCCAGGAGCCCCAGGAGCGAGGCGAGCCAGCAGCCAGGGCCGGGCCTGAGCGCTGCTCTGCTGGACTGCGGCCGTGTTTTCGCTCCCCGTTTCGGCGGGGAGGTTCAGGAGAGCAGGCAGAGCGAAACGAAGCACAACACGAGCACAACACGAACAACAACGTTTAGGTCCAGCCCTGCCAGCAGCGGCGTCGCTTGAAGAAGAAGAAGAAGAAGAAGAAGAAAACGCCTTAAACAGAAGCTTTTGGCGCTCCGCACGGATTTCTTGAGTCCGCGCTGGGCCCCCCCCCTGGTGGCGCCTCCGGCGCCGCCCCTGGCGCGCTCCGCGCCAGGAAGGGGGGCCCAGCGCAGGTCCAAGGAATCCGCGCGGAGCGCCAAAACTGTAACGTGCATGCCGTCTTCGTTCCTCTGGTCGAGGAGCCAGCCCAGGACACGCAGCAACGGCCCACACCTCTCGGGCCCTGAGGGGGGGCCGCGCCTCCCGAGGCGCAGGCGTGCTCCAGCTTCGCCAGGGGGTCCTTGGCTGCCTCGAGCCACGTCTGCGAGGCCTTGCCGTCCTCGCCGCGCTGCGTCTCCCTGCCCTCCGTGCGCAGCGGCATGGTGGATTCTGTTCTCGTATCCTTCTTCTCGATGCCCGACGGCATGGTGTTCCACTACTCGCAAAGTGCCGACTCACAAGCGACCGAAAAACGCATGTCTTCCTCTATGTCTGTAATCGTAGACCCCTCGCGGCGGATCCGGGCCAGTTGCGAGTAGTTCCTCTGCGAGTAGTGGAACGTGCTTGTCTAATTGGCCTTTCCTGCCTTCTTGTCCTTCTGGTTCGTCTTGATATTCTCGCCCTTCGGTGCAGCCTCGCCAGCCTTGCTGTCGAAGTTGTCCTGGCCATGTGCGGTCACTGCCGCGTCCTTCCCAGGATCCAGAGGCAGGGTCGACCCCATCATTGCTGTTTGCGGGGCTGGAATCTCGGGCAGGTGCTCATCCTGATCATCCGGGGCCCGCCCCCTTCGCCGCGTGGATGCCGTCCTCCGCTGCTGCGGGGTACTGCCGTGCCTCATGCGTGCAGCCATGCAGTCTGCACGCGTTGGCCGATCCCGAGGAGGAGGAGGAGGAGGAGGAGGAGGAGGAGGAGGAGGAGGAGGAGGAGGAGGAGGAGGAGGGGGGAGGGGGAGGGGGAGGGGGAGGGGAGGGGAGAGGAGGAGGAGGAGAGGAGGAGGAGGAGGGGAGGAGGAGGTCCCCCCTTCCCCTGTGGCGCACCTGGCCGATCCTGCACTCCTGCCAACACGCCGGGGCCGCCGGCTTTTTTCGCGACGTGGAGCCCAGACATGCTCGCGACGTAGGACCTCCTCCTCCCCCCCCTCCTCCTCCCCTCCTCCTCCTGCTCCTCCCCCTCCTCCTCCACCTCCTCCTCCTCCTCCTCCTCCTCCTGCTCCTCCCCCTCCTCCTCCACCTCCTCCTCTTCTTCTTCTTCTTCTTCTTTTTCTTCTTCTTCTTCTTCTTCTTTTTTTTCTTCTTCTTCTTCCTTCTCCTCCTTCTCATCGACCCTCTCCCCAGGCCCGGTCTCTCCTCCCGAGCTGTCGTCTGCCGGGCCCAAGGGCCCGGCGAGGACCCTCGGAGGCCGACGCCGACAGCGGCCCACGACGCGAGCACGCCTGGGCTCCGATGCGCTCAGAGGTTCCCCCAACCAACGAGGAGGAGGAGGAGGAGGAGGAGGAGGAGGAGGAGGAGGTGGAGGAGTAGGAGGAGGAGGGGGACGAGGAGGGAGGGGGAGAAGGGGAGGGAGGGAGGGAGGGAGGAGGAAGGAGGATCCTCTATGATGCACGCAGGAGCGGCAGCCGCACGTCCAGGCCTTGGGCCGGCTGCTCCAGGACGAGCACCCCGGGACGCGCGCGCGGGCCGCCGCGGCCGCGGGCCGCCTGGGCCAGGCTACTCAGTAGGTGAGAAAACACTCAGGCACAATTCCTCGTCGACCGCCAGGACAGTAATGAGAGCATCTGGGAGGTGGGGGGGGCGACAAAGACCAAGAACATCTTGGAACACGTGGGGTATCCTAGGCTTCGTGTGGATTTATGTGTGCGTCCTTGGGCCCCTGTAGCTATACAGGGACGCCGCCCTCGCTGGATCCAGGGCCGAGGAGGACCCCGACGGGATCGCGTCGCACAAACACAAAAATCGGGACGGGAGGCTTCTGGCCCGTCGCGGCCCCTCGGGGGGCCCTCGTCGGGCCTCGGGGCCCGTCAGGCCAACAAAACGACTCGGCATTGAAGAGCCGGCCCCGGGGGAAAGGGTCGGGGCTCCCGGGGACGCCGCCCTCGGAGGAGCGAGGGCCAGCGAGAAGGAGGGAGATCCTCCTCCTCCTCCTCCTCCTCCTCCTCCTCCTCCTCCTCCCTCCTCCTCCTCAGACCCCCTCGAGTCCTGAAAGAACCACGGCGCGCCATGTTTTGTTGCTATCTTCGGCCGCTTCTGGGGGCCCTCACCGGGCCTTGGGGCCGTCGAAGAACGACTCCGGGCGAGAGGATCCGGTCCCGGAGAAGGGGGCGAGACCTTTGGGGGCCGAGGAAGAGGTACCCGAAGGAGAAGGTTCCGGGGGAGCGTTGATGAGCTCACCTCTAATCGGATGTCAGGCCCGAGGGGAAGGGGAAAAGGGGAGGGGGACAGCCAAGCCTCACACCCCATGCAGGGGACCAGCGAGATTTCCAGAGGAGGAAGGGGTACCCTGAAGTCGGGCATGTCCCTCTACAGGAGGAGTATGCAAGAATAGTCACGAAATGTAAGGTGTCGATTTTCTGTGCTCTGTTGACTCTTGTTGATTTGTTTGATTTTTTCCCCAAACAGCTTGCTGAACGGGGTGCTGTTGTGATAGAAGCTAACTCCGGCCGAGGGAAAGCTAAGCAGAGACATCCTCAAACCAATGTGGTGGTCCGGCCCGTTTCGCCTGAGACATCCTCACAACTCTCGTTTCTGAGTTGTCCGGGATTGAGCGTTTCGCCTGAGACATCCTCGAAAAGTTGCGCTCCGGGACGCCGCGCGAGAGGTGGTCCGGGCCGTTTCGCCTTAGACATCCTCAAAAAGTTGCGCTCCGGGACGCCGCGCGAGAGGTGGTCCGGGCCGTTTCACTTGAGACATCCTCGAAACTCTGAGCCCCGAGGTGCCGTGCGAGAGGTGGTCCGGGCCGTTTCGCCTGAGACATCCTCGAAAAGTTGCGCTCCGGGACGCCGCGCGAGAGGTGGTCCGGGCCGTTTCGCCTGAGACATCCTCAAAAAGTTGCGCTCCGGGACGCCGCGCGAGAGGTGGTCCGGGCCGTTTCACTTGAGACATCCTCGAAACTCTGAGCCCCGAGGTGCCGTGCGAGAGGTGGTCCGGGCCGTTTCGCCTGAGACATCCTCGAAACTGTGAGCTTTGCGATGCCTTGCGCGAGGTGGTCCGGCCCATTTCGCCTGAGACATCCTCGAAACTCTGACTTCGGAGATGCCGCGCGAGAGGTGGTCCGGTCTGAGCTCTGAGATGCCCTGCGCGAGGTGGTCCGGCCCGTCTCGCCTGAGACATCCTTGCAACTCTGAGCTCTGAGATGCCGTTCGCAAGGTGGTCCGGTTTGTTTCGCACAAGACATTCTCGCAACTCTGAGCTCTCAGATGCTGCGCAAGAGGTGGTCCAGCCTGGGCGCCCAGAAGACCACATGTGACATATCCTCCATAGGACCCTGCGAGCCCCAGGAGGCCCCAGAGAGGTCCAGGAGGCCGCAGGACGCCCAGGACAGGCCCCAGGGGCCCCCAGGAGATTCCCAGGAGGCTCCCAGGAGGCCCCAGGAGGCCCCCTCTCAGAACGTGTCAAGTTAATACACATCTGGTGTCGATTCGTTGATTTTTCCCCAAACAGCTTGCTGAACGGGGTGCTGTTGTGATAGAAGCTAACTCCGGCCGAAGGAAGTCGGAGCAGAGACATAAATTTGATGGTCCGGGCCGTTTCGCTTGAGACATCCTCACGTTTCTGAGTTGGCCGGGATTGGCCGTTTCGCCTGAGACATCCTCGAACAGCTACGTTCCGGGACGCCGCGCGAGAGGTTGCCAGGGCCGTTTCGCTTGAGACATCCTCGAAACTCTGAGCCCCGAAGTGCCGTGCGAGAGGTGGTCCGGGCCGTTTCACCTGAGACATCCTCGAAACTCTGAGCTCTGAGATGCCCTGCGCGAGGTGGTCCGGCCCGTTTCGCTTGAGACATCCTCGAAACTCTGACCTCGGAGATGCCGCGCGAGAGGTGGTCCGGCCCGTTTCGCCTGAGACATCCTCGAACTTCTGAGCTC